TATATATACTATATATACTATATATATTTATATAGCTATATATAAGCAATTTATACTAGTATATACATATATAGTTTACAAGAAAGTGCCTTAGATAAAAAAAATTAAAAAGAATCCAGATGGTGAATATATATAGTATATATATAATCATGATGATACCTTTAAAACCCTTGCTTATATAGGGTATTTTACCACAATTTTTGGGACAAATTGATGAAAAACGATCCCAAAACAAAAATATTATATGGACAAGAATTATTGGATTCTATTAAAACACAAATCCAAATATATTCAACGATCCCTCAAAAGAAGATGATAGAGGATAGCACAGTTAAACATATTGCACTATATATATCTTTAATACATATAAACTATATATATATATATATACATACATACATACATACATACATANGACTTAGATAAAAAAATTAAAAAAATAGCCCGAAACGAAAAAAGCCCGTTAGGCCCGTTTAGGCCCACGGGCCCGACACATTTAGCCCGGGACCATGTGGGCTTAGGACTGCCGTCGGCCGGTTTCACACATTGGGACTGTTTGGCCCGGGACCGTCTCAGTCCGGCCCGCCTCAAGCCCGGCCCATTTAGGCCCGTTACCCGGACCACAATACAGCCTTACTCCAAGGCTCCCCTTCATTCAGATAGATTTCTACACATATAAACACCATTATTACGCTCGAATCACAAATATTCACACTAAAGTTAACAAGATCGGGATATAATGCATGGCAAATTACATGCAAAAATATGGACTTTTAGCCAAACACTAGCGGATGCACATAGAGAGTTGTGGGTGCTTAAGCACCCATTAACTTTGATCATATTAATTAATTTATATAGGCAACAATACAAATATTTAGATAAATATTGAGTGAGCACCCACAAATAAATTCATTTTTCCTCTTCTTTTGAAGTTTTTATCGGCGAACACCCGTAATGTAACAATGTAGGTAGGATATAGGCATTTCAGAATGAAAACTGATGAACTATAGTAGACTGGTAATTGAGTTTGACCGAAGACTGATGCATGATTCTGAAATTTCTCTGCCTCAAGAATATTCCAGCGAAAAAAACTGAAGATTGTGACTTCAGCGTTTTTGCATGGTTTAAATTATTGTCTCATTGTATAATCTAGACTAGAATAAGATGTGAATTTTTCCGAATAATAAAATAAAATAAATGGCCCGAATTATTTGATGGTCTAAATCTTTCTTATCCACATAAATACAGGAACTATTTTACGAGGCACAAGCATAAATGTGTGAACTAACCATACTCACCTAACGTTTTCAGATCACGTTTTGGTCCCCATCTCAGGGCTTACATCAATTGTGTGATGTGGGATATTTTATGTGAAACTTGGTCCATAATATTTTCTTAATTTCCCGATTTTCCTGCCTCAAAAAGAGATTCCATGTGAACGTAGACACAGATGAAAGAGAGAAGAAGATACCTAAACGAATCGACAAGTGGAGCGAGCGGACCATGGCTTTATCTGTCAATCTACAAAACTACATGATTTTTCGCTTCCATATTCAAACGTTATTTTCTTTTTTCTCTAAATTAATTCTTTTTCTCTTGACTAGAAATAATATTTCTTCTGCAAACGTGCATCACTACAAATCAATAAACTTTGAGAATGTCAAGATTTTTGGAACTCGAAGAAAATATGTTTAGGTTTTCAATCTATGGTTTATAGAAAAGCCTTGTATGCTTTTAGCTTTTCTTCACTCTTTTTGGTTATGGAATTTCATTTAAATATACAGGAACAACAACAATAACAATCCAATAAAATTCCATAGGTGAGGGGTCTAGGGAGGATAATGTGTACGTAGGTCTTACTCCTACCCCTATGAGATAAAGAGATTGTTTCCGATAGTTCTTCGGCTCAAAAAGGCGAAAAGAAACAATGCTGAAATGCAATAACAATAGCCAATAAATAAGGCTCGGTGCTACAAAAAATGAAAGAATAGTATGAACACAACATAATTTCACTTAAATATAGAGCTAGATAATACTTTCTATCATTCTTTTAAACTTATACAGTATTATTTGGTGATGTCTATAATTTCATTAGAGTGACATTACTTATCCAACTATGTCAATTGAACTGATATAATTTGAATAATTGCTTCGTATCTCAATTAATACACTTTATAGGTGTAAGATACAATTTGTCTTCTCGTTTTTACCTCTCATATTTTGAAAGGCAAATTATTGAAACATTTTAATATCGTACACTCGATCCATCTTTTTCTGTATTAGTAAAATATGACATATGTACAATGCAGCCTGTAGTGCTTTGCCAACTTTTGAGGATGTAGAAAACTTAAATATAGAGGAAAGGTTGGTGAATGCTTAAACATTAGAGTAATTAAATAAAAGTTCACGTGCCAAGATGACCAACACCGTTTCACTTTTTGTTTTTCTAATCATTTTCAGTTAAGTTCTAAAATACCATCTTAGTACTGTTAATTTTGGTGATAAATTAATTTCCAGCTTCCAAATTCTATAAAAGACAGTACTAACGTTTGACACAATGTTAGTAGCTTTACATCTTATTACTGCTTAGGGGTGTTCACGATTCGATTTGGTCGGTTTTTTATTAAAATTAAAACCAAACCAATTTAATTGATTTTTAAAATTTTAAAATTAAAAACAAACCATCGGTTTGATTGTTGTTGGTTCGGTTTGGTTTGGTTCGATTTTTCGGTTCTTAGTAAGCTAATGATAAGTCGATAATAGTAAAATAACGCTAGACAACAATATGAAAATAATTTGCTAAATTTATACTTTTTTATATATTTCTTTCAGAACTGAAAGTTTATTTACCTGTTTATATGAAAATAATGAACAAAAAACAAACTAAAAGTTTGCTTTCTCAAGTTTTAATTAGCCATTGCTGTCTTGCAATTTGAATTGCTTTCTTTACTCTTGTGGTGTGTTTTTTTTTAACTATTCTGTTAGGCAAAAGTATGTGCGGAGGGTTAGAGAATTAGAGTCTCTTAATGAAAAGAAAACTGGTCGAGTCCTATTGTTTTGGGCTTAGACAATCTTTTAAGATATAAAAGGATAAACCAAAATTCAAAATAACAATTAAAATGCATAAAATATTTAAAATTATTTACAAAAAGATATTATATTGTATATAAATAATTATTAAATTTTGTATATAATTAGTCGGTTTGGTTCGGTTTATTTTTGGTTTTTTAAAATAGAACCAAAATCAAACGAAATATTATTGGTTTTTAAAATTTAAAACCAAAACTAATCCAAATCAAGAAAAATATCGATTTACTTAATCGATTTGGTTCGATTTTTGGTTTGGATCAATTTTCCGTCAAACCGTGAACACCCCTGTTACTACTAGTTAAATAAAATGTTGTGATGGAAATCAACTTTCAAACTATTTTAAGACTCAATTCCATTTAAATACGAGAAAATATTAGTTCACATATTTCATACTCAATTATTGGCTAAGTTCGCTCCTACGTGGCGTAAGTCTGGCACATTAAAAACAGTAACAGAACTCTACGTCCCACTATAATCACCTGTACCTCCGCTAATCAACCAGTTAAAAAGCACCTTACAGTGGAATTCGTAACTGATTCGTCGACGCATTTCATTATCCTATGCCGCGAAACACCTGATCACTTATTATATCCTCTTCATATAAAAGCCCGGACTCGGTTCTTCAATTAGTTTGACAGAGAGAAGCTGAAGTGAGTTGGGATCTAACATCACCCCACCCCCGGTCTCCCTCTTCTCTCTCTCCATTTTCAATGGCGACCATCAATGGCTTGACCTCACCACAGCCTTTTCTCTCTCTATCAAAGCCCAAACCAAAACCCTCTTATTCCCACTTCAAGCCTTTGAAGCCACAAATCTTATCCAAAGGCCTCAAACAGCAGAATCAGCAGCTAAGAGACTGGGCAGTCGTGGGCTCGGTGGCCAACGAAACCGACCTGATTCCAGTCCAAAGCAACGACACTACGGACCAGCAAAGCGGCGTCGTAATTGGGTTAGAAAGAGAACCGGAAGGTGGAGATATGGATTTAGTAAATCAGGTCGTGGGTGGGTTTGGAAATGAAGGGAGATTATCATTTGAAGGTGCTGCTGGTGGGTTTAGTTCTTCTTCAAGTGGGTCTAATGGAAAATTAGAACAAGAGGATATGAACAGAGTTATTGATAGAGCTATTAATGCAACTATTGTTTTAGCTGCTGGAAGTTTTGCTATCACTAAATTGCTCACTATTGACCATGATTACTGGCATGTAAGTTACTAATACTTACTAGTAGTTCTAAAAGCTTTCTATTTACTTAAAAGGTAACCGCAGGTAACTTCTATTAATAGCGTTTGATTGGTAATCTAGAATAATTAAATTGCACTGAGTCCTGCATTTTCTTGCTGCTTGTATATGAATAACATTTACATATCGTGGTTTAAGAGATTTATTAGTTTTCTTTTTATTTGGTTTTTGTCTTAAAATTATGATTCAGTTGCTTTCAAATGGATAATTCTCTCAAAATCTCAGCTTTTGGTACAAATACAAGTTGGGTCGTGACACCCAGGCCCCTTAAATTAATGGGTTGGTCTGATTAGGGTTTCGTGGGTCATGAGCTGGTTAAAGGGTTAATTTTAATGGGTTAAAAAAGGATAAAGGAGAACTATAGCGTGTGTGTGTGATCCAATAATTTGGGTGCCTTTTGGATTGGTATATTCTCAATTTCTCATGCTTATTTCCTGCTCTGTTGTAATCAAAGTGCAACTCCTTATGTAGATGTTTTGTTCTTAATTAATGATCTATATTTCTGGATGTCTTTAGTCCTATGTGGTCATGGGCGGCTCAATCGATACGGTGGCCTAAAGCCAAACCTTAGTAAGAGGCCTAAAATATATTTAATATAATTCTTTTATATATTAATGTGAAATGATAGTTTAAAAAATCTTTCTATTTTTTATATATAAGGAACAATAAAAAGGAATATGCAACTCATATTATCAATACCCTTGTTATTTGCAGAATTAATATATGGGTATGATGAGGG